GTTTTTTTTTTTTTTTTTTTTTTTTTTTTTTTTTTTTTTTTTTTTTTTTGGGGGGGGGGAGCTAGACTTCTGAGCTGTGGCTGTGGGGCAGTTGGTGTGCGGTATAGGAGCTGACTTGGGATCTTAAATGTAGCCAGGTTCCTGTGGACCATTTCGATATCTCACCTTCCTGCGGATGAGCAGCTGTACTTCGGTCGGTGGCCTAAGTTTTCACCCCATGGGCTCTGCGGTGGGTACGCTTCTTGCACTTTTGTCAGGGTTGATCGGATCTGAGCTCGTGCTAGGAAGCATCTGCTCTTAATTTTGCTACTTCTCTCAAACTTGACAGAGAAGAGCAGCTTAGATGCATGACGAAAGCTAGCAAATACCATAGACGACGCAAACGTTACAATATCCGTTGGTAACAAAGCACTGAAGGGAGCCCGTACCGGGGTCTAAGCCTCCATGACCCCAGCTTAAAGTTTAAACGTGAAAGCAGATTCCGAGCTAGGTGTCCCTGGAAAAAATTTTTGCCAGTTTGGTGGGTATGGTCATAACAAGTCTTACACAGGCGAGGATTCTTATATCCGTCTATCGTTCATAAAGGCATTCTGGACGAAAAAAAATATCTGATGACTATAATAATAATAATGTTAATGATGATAAAGATGACAATAAGAAAAATATCAATAAGAATAACAAGAAAATTGATGATAATTATGTAAATATAAAAATAATAATGATGACGATAATGATGATGATAATGGTAATTATAATGATAATGATAATGATGATAATGATGGAGATGACGATGATAATGGTAATAAAACTTATTAGGATAACATCGATAATAATGATGTTGATAATAATAATAATGCTGCTTATGTTGATTATAATAATAATTTTAAACACACATTATAATAATGATGATGAAGATGATAATGATTAGAATTATTATAATGCTTATAATATTAATGATATAAACAATAGTAACGATGTTGATGTTGATGATGATAATGATGATGACGATAGAAATAATATTTATCATGATTATAATGAACATGAGGATAATCATGATAATGATGAAGATAATTATGATAGTAATAATTATCAATGATTATGTTGATAATAATAATTATGATCCAGGTAATAATACTAAAAATGAAGAAAGAAACGATGAAAATGATAATGATAATACTTTTGATATACTTATAATATAAATAATAATGATGATGACGATAATCATAATGATAATGGTGATGAAGATGATAAGAACGATAATAATGATAGTTCTTATGATAATAATGATAATGATGATAATGATCATTTAAATGATAATGATAATAATAATGATCATTATAATGATAATGATAATAATAATGATACGAATAATAACAATTGTGACGATGGTGGAAGTAATGATAATAATATTAGTAAAAAATAAAATGATAATTATTATAATTATTGTAATGATAATGATAATGATAATGATGATGATGATAATGATAATAATGATAATGATAATAGTAATGCTGATTAGAATAATAATGTTGATGGTCATAATAATAATGATTATAATGATTATGGTAATGTTAATTATACCAATCATGATAACAATTGTGATTATGATAATAATGAGGATGTCGTTAAAAATGTTGATGCTAATAATAAAAATGATAATGGTAATAATAATCGTGATTATAATATTAGAAATTGTAGAACTAATACTCACAATGATGATTATAAGGATGATAATGTTAAGAATTATTATAATGCTTATAATATTAATCATGATTATAATGAACATGAGGATGATCATGATAATGATGAAGATAATTATGATAGTAATAATTATCAATGATTATGTTGATAATAATAATTATGATCCAGGTANATAATGATTATCATAATAATAATAAGGATAATGATATTAATTATGATAAAAATAATGATAATGATTATCATAATGATAAACATGAAGATGACAATGATCATAATCTTTAATATGATTATAATGATAATAATAACAATGACGATAATGATAATGATGACAATTACAATAAAGATGATGATAATAATGCTGATAATAATGATAATAATGATAATGATGATGATGTGACAATGATAATGATGATAATGAGAATAATATTTATAATGATAATATTGCTTATGGTAAGAATAATAATATTGATGAATATGTAAACTATATTATCAATAATATTGAAGGGAATAATAGTTATAATGCTGCTGATGATTATGACGATTATAATAATAAAAATAATAATTAAGATAGTAATAAAGAGTATAAAGATATTAATAATAGTAATTCGAATAAAAAAAGCATTGATAATAACAATAATGATAATAATAATAATAATAATAGGAGTAAACATTTCTAATAGAACTTGTATTTCATGCGCACAAGGAAATGAAAGCGTCGCGTCGTTTGCTCTGTGTAATAATTGGCATTGCAAAATTATGTGAGTGTCGTTCTTCTACTATATCTCTCCTCTTCTTGTCCAATGAAAATGATTTCGACAGATTTCTCTTGATTGCGACCAATTATTCATCTCTTTCTTGCTCTTTGGTGTG